TCTCACGAACTGACACTGTAGCCATTTTAAAAACCTTTACTGACAATGAGCGCCGCCAACTAATGAGAGAAATTTCAGGCGCCTACCAACTGGAGGCACAAAAGATGCACTGGATTGATGACAACGAAGGAAAATGTACATTCTGTGGAGAAGAAGACAGCAGACCCCATAGATTGTATGACTGCCCAACATTTGCACATATCCGAGAGCCGTTTGCCGAGGTTTTGCAAAAAGCAGATGATGAAGGATTTACCCTTGCAGATATGGCGGTAGTGCATTCACATGCAGACATGCAGATACACCACTTGCTGCATCAGCAGCAACCGAGCCCAGTTGTTGCAGGTGATTTTCACGCATTTGCCATATCGAGGCAACAGCACCAACAGCCATTCAACATATATGTTGACGGCAGCTGCAATTTCCCGCAATTCCCAACATCCAGGATGGCAGCTTTTGCAGGAGTTGTGGATATGGCTCTTAATGATTTTCACCGAAGAGAGTTGGCATTTGTTTTCAAAAAAGAAGGGACATTTCCCACCACTTTCACAACTTGCTTTGCAGCTAGAGTCAAAGGTTTCCAAAGTATACCAAGGGCAGAATTGACAGCTTTGCTCACCGCAGCCTCCATTCCGTATGGAGTGATTCACTCAGATAGTAGCTATGCCATCAAACAAGCTATCAAAGCGACTGAGGAAACTGGAAGACTATATGCAACTGCAAATGCTGACATTTTGTGGAAGTTTCATGAACTCCAACCTGACACAACACGTTTTCAGAAGATAAAAGCACATCGAAAACTGCATGAGATTGATGATTTGTTGGAACTTTATCATGCGCTGGGTAACCACATGGCAGATGAGGCAGCCAAGCATGCGTGTAAGTACCTCAATGAAGAGTGGTGCGCCGAACTTCAACAGTTTCATGAACAGACCGATGCAGCCCGACAGGTTCTTAAGGAAATATATAAACTGCATATTGCGTTGTTCAAGGCAAGATCCCAAGCAACTCAACAAAAAACCAGGCAAGATGCCGCCACTTTGCAAGATGCAGATAAGATCTCTCCTGACCAAATCTTTCATAAGCTGCGTAACTGGATGCCACAGTATACACAAGACCTTGTTTTTCCGCACGAATCACAGGACTGGTTTAGACAGTTTTCCTGGGGGCCATGGTGGGCGGAGCAAACGTACAGCTGGATGCAACAGTTTCAGTGGCCAAACGAACCACAGGGACCATTGCCTCGCGAAATTGGAATATCCTGGCTTGAATTGGCACTCTCATTGTCTCTAACTGTCCGTAAGTGTTTGCCTGTCCTTCGTAAAAATCAACAGGGTAAGGTTATGCTACTCTTGGTTGAAGATGACACTGATACTGTTGACTATGCGGTACAACATACAGATATAGCTGCCACCATGCAAAAGATGTGGACTCAGATGACATTGCTGATGCCCAAGGAATCAGCACCGGTCGTAGGAAAAGGCCTGCAGACTTCTCTTTATGTGCAGGGATTTGGACAGAGCGTCAGTGGAATGGCTCCACGGCCAGCCTTTCCATTGCAAGACAAAGTTTCCCAATATATCCATGATCACTTCCAAAACAAAAACTCATACAATTTTCCTTTTCAACCAAATTGGCTTGTGACTAGGCAGCAACCGCTGCGAAGTGTGGACTGGCAGATGACGTGTGACTCCTTCAAATACAATCGAAGGGCTGAGAAAGTAAGGCAGAGGGGACTTCAGCAAAGCTGAATTTGACATTAGCTAGGGTCACCTGCTTACAATAAGCAGAGAGCGCGTGGATTTGAGCCCGTGCTCCGCATCTGCTGGGCACGGGCTCCTTTTGGAAGGAAAGGGGCCTTAATTCAGGTTAGTGAAATATTATAATTTACCCAGAATATCGTAGAATTATATAGAATGAACTAAACTAAATGATAAACCATGATAAATCTACCAGTAGTAACCACAAGGCGGTGGCGGAAGTTTCAAAGATAGGACACTATATATAGGTAGGAGAGGTGAGTTGTTGTGATGCATGGATGGCAGAGCGAATCCACTGATGGACCGAAAAGGTGGTTGGAGTTGTGTTTTTTAGAGTGGTTACAATGGCTGCAGCGGTCACCTCACCCACAACTGCTGGACGTAGTGTGGTGTAATGCAGTTGTAGTTGTAGTAGTGTGGTGTAATGGAGTTGTAGTTGTAGCTGTGGTGTGGTGTAAGGTAACGTAGTGTAGTGTAGTGTACTCTAGTGTCTTTGTTGTGGTATAGTATAGTGTAGTCTAGCATAGTGTAGAGTAGTGCAGTTGTAGCTACAGTTGTCGTTGTAGTGTGGTGTAATTAGTGTAGTGTAGTGTAGTTGCATTTGTAGTTGCAGTTGTTGTTGCAGTTGTAGTTGTAGTGTAATGTAATGTAATTAGTGTGGTGTAGTGTAGTGTTGTGTAATGTAGAGTAGTTGTAGCTGCATGTGTAGTTGTACTTGTAGTGTAATTAGTGTAGCGGAGCGAAATGTAGTGTAGTTGTACCACAGTTGCAAAAGTAATTGTAGCTGTGGTAGTGGTGGTAGTGGTGGTAGTCGTGGTGGTGGTGGTGGTGGTGGTAGTAGCAGTAGTGGTAGTGGTAGTGGTAGTGGTAGCGGTAGTGGTAGTGGTAGTGGTAGTAGTAGTAGTAGTTGTTGTTGTATTAGTAGTAGTAGTAGTAGTTGTTGTAGTAGTAGTAAGGTAGTAGTAAGGTAGTAGTAAGGTAGCAGTAAGGTAGTAGTAAGGTAGTAGTAAGGTAGTAGTAAGGTAGTAGTAGTAGTAGTAGTTGTTGTTGTTGTTGTTGTAGTGCAATGTAATGTAATTAGTGTAGTGTAGTGTAGTGTAGTGTTGTGTTAGGTAGAGTAGTTGCAGCTGCATTTGTAGTTTTACTTGTAGCGTACTGTAGTGTAATTAGTGTAGCGGAGCGAAATGTAGTGTAGTTGTACTGCAGTTGCAAATGTAATTGTAGCTGTGGTAGTGGTGGTAGTGGTGGTAGTCGTCGTGGTAGTAGTAGTGGTAGTAGTAGTTGTTGTTGTTGTTGTTGTTGGTGTTGTTGTTGTAGTAGTAAGGTAGTAGTAAGGTAGTAGTAAGGTAGTAGTAAGGTAGTAGTAAGGTAGTAGTAAGGTAGTAGTAAGGTAGTAGTAAGGTAGTAGTAAGGTAGTAGTAAGGTAGTAGTAGTAGTAGTAGTAGTAGTAGTAGTAGTAGTAGTAGTAGTAGTAGTAGTAGTATTCGAAGTAGTAGTTGTAGTAGTAGTAGTCGTCGTCGTCGTAGTAGTAGTAGTAGTGGTAGTGGTAGTGGTAGCGGTAGTGGTAGCGGTAGTGGTAGTAGTAATAGTAATAGTAGTAGTAGTAATAGTAGTAGCAGTAGTAGTAGTAGCAGCAGTAGTAGTAGTAGGACGGTGGTAGTAGTTGTAGTAGTTGTAATAGTTGTTGTTGTTGCTGTTGTGGTTGTGTAATTAGTGTAGTGTAGCCATGTGTAGCCTAATTTGTGTAGTGCAGTGTAATTAGCGTAGTGCAGTCTAATGTAGCGTAATATATTTGCAGTTGTAGTTGTATCAGTAGTGTAATGTAGTGGTAGTGGTTGTTGCAGTTGTAATTGTAGTTGTGCTTGTAATTGCCTATCTATCTATCTATCTATCTATCTACCTATCTATCTATCTGTCTATCTGCAAGCTTGCGAAGTTGAGAGGGTCAAAAGCGCAGCAATTCTGCGAGATTTCCTCAAAGCAATCCTGCGAGACTTCCTCAATTTTCGAAGGTGACAACATCAAAAACGAAGCAATTCTGCGAGGCTTCCTTAAAAAATGGAAAGCTGTATCTCTGATGAACATGTCTCCTGTATTGCGCCTGCCACGCAAAATGCATGTTTGCAGATTCTCTTCAAATGCCCCAGGCCAGGCCTGCCAACGCTTTTCAAACTGCTACAAAACCCTCGCGTTTTACTCACTTTTGACAAGGTGCACAATCCCTTGCGCCTGCCACTCAAAACGATATCTGAACGTCTAAAAGTGCTCCGACCCCGTCAGTTTTTAACGCCTTTGACTTCGAAATGTGCTTCGCACCACAACGGCGTGCACTTGTTCAACATCTAAACTTCCAAAAGTGCTCCGAGAATGTTGTGTTTTGTACATTTTGAAGCATTTTGACTTCGAAATGTGCTTCGGGCCACAAAGGCGTGCAATTTTTAATCTCTCATCTGGCCAGGTGGCTCCGCACCCGCCGCTTTAGCGAGCCTACTTTTCAACCCTCCGGAGCCACAAATCATTGGAAAAACACAGTGATTCGCGACTTTCCTACCTTTTCGCGCACCTGCATCTTCTTTCTTCTGACTCTTTCTTCTGACTCTTTCTTCCGACTCTTTCTTCTGACTCTTTCTTCTGACTCGTTCTTCTGACTCTTTCTTCTGACTCTTTCTTCTGACTCTTTCTTCTGACTCTTTCTTCTGACTCTTTCTCTTCTCTTCTCTTCTCTTCTCTGGCTCTTCCCACCTCTGCTTTTTCATCTGTCAATAATGTCGGGAGTTTGACTTCTAAAACTTCCTTCGACAAGTATCTATAAGTATATTTCTTTAGTTGCATGTAGGTATATACAACTATATTGTATAATGCTGTATGTATATATATATATATTGTATGCGCGCATGCTCATATGCACTGAGATTGGGATGGAAGGCTGGAACATAGAAGCAGTATGAGCACTGAACCACGCCCGGAGTCGGTTGAAGAATGTTTTGCCACACAAAAAGGATCGACCAACTATGGCGGGGGGAATCCTCGGGACTGCACTACCGTAAGTGGATGTTGCCAAAGAACAAGTATATTGTTCCTTAGTATAAAGGATAGACCACCGTGAATCACCAATTCCTCTATCAGTAGCACTTGCAGCATGGGAGTTTTGACATGACAACACAATGGAGCCGGTGAAAGGCGTGGCTTGCCCACCCCTAAGCGCCTGGCCATACAGGTCTAGCAGCTGAAACCACTTCTAAGGTGGCGAATGCGAGCTGGCTTGCTACAACCCAATATGGTCGCCTTCGGCTCGTGTGTGGAGGTGTGGGGCTCCGTGCTGCATTAGTTCCAAGACTCCTTTCGCTGACATGGTTTTGTCCAACAATGGGATATTCCCAAAAAAACGGTGGTTTATCATGGTTTTCATCACCCTGACCTTCCTCCACAACGTTTAACTCTGGGGTTACTAAACACAACGTTAAACCTTGTCTTTAGATGACTGCAGAAAATCAGTTCTATCTAGCCACAAACTGTTTCACATCCAGAGAGGACTAACATGGACTAACCGTGTTGGCTCAGTCCCAAAGCAGTTTGGGCAGAAGTATTGCTATGAAGAGTGGGTGGAAAGGCGGTATAAGAGGAAAAACGCGAATCTGCCCAGAGGTCAGATCCATTTGCAAATGGCAAAATCTGAAGCGTTCTTTTTCTAAACGATTTGTTTGGTCCATTTTGAAGTGTGAAAAGTGCGTGAAAATAACGTGAACAGTGCGTGAAACGACCGTGAAAAACACGTGAACACCATCAAAAAACTGGGGTGCAAGACTCAAATAATGGTTTGACTAAAGTTTTTGCAAAATCGAAGATATGGTGTGACACTTTGCGCCCTACCTTTTTTATGGAGCATGTGCTTCATGGATACTATCTTTAGGATTCAGTAATGGCAAGCTGAAGGGAAGGGAACTTTTTGGAACTCCTTAAAGGCCGGTATTGTTTATTCTGCATTCTTGATGCAATCAAAGATTCTGCCTCTGCTCTTTGGAAGGCAGTAGTGATAGGCAGTGGAATGATGGGGTTAAGTAAAGACATGGGGTTAGACTAACCACAACGTTAAACCTTGTGGTTGGAAGGTCAGGGTCATGTTCCCTGTTCAAACGGTAGTTTTATATAATTGTGATATTCATTCATGTTCCCTGTTCAAACAGCAGTTTTAGGATATAACGCCCATTTCTGGAGGAAAGCGAGGATTCCTTGACGCTGAGGTGTGCTGCAGGAGCTTGCGCTGGAACCAGGCGCTGCAGCTGCTTGGCGAGATGGAGGTTGGGACCTGCGTCGGACCTGGGTGGATAGCAGTTGAGGGCCCTAGACAGGTTCCTGGGCCTAACGGATGTTAAGGGTGTCACAAACATCATAATAAACCTATCTATAACTGGGGGAACCTCGCCTTGTACCCTCTGGTAAACTAACATAGCTACTGAAAATTGCCCATTTATAGTTGATTTACCTATTGAAAATAGTGATTTTCCATAGTCATGTGACACGTACTTTACCAGAGGGTAAAGTGTTGTTCCATTTCTTCCATGGTTTCTGTCACCACATGTTTGCTGAGCAGGTGGCCCAGCTGCGTCCCAATCTCATTGTGGCCAGCTCTCTGGTCGCCGTGCTGCAATCGACCCAGGTTCGATTGGTGACCGCTTAAGGGGTTGATTTGGAGATATTTGGAGTGGCATGGGAAGATTAGGGATGGTTTATTACTGGGTTTACATGTGTTTACCACATGCAGCATGATTGCGGACATTTCAAGTGTTTGAACTACATGTTGCATATTAGGTGTACGTTTTTTCTGAAATCGAATGTCGATGCGATATCCGTGAAGTGTTGCAATGCTGGGTGGTTTGCTAATGAGAGTCACCGACTGGCGGATCTCAGAGCCAAAAGCGCAGCCAGGGACCTGCTTTAAAGGCAGTGCTTGAACATCTCCGGCGTGCAGTGTATGTCGAGGATGACAGGCGCTCTCCTGGGGCACTTCAGGGATGCAAGTATACAGGGACCTACAAAGCCGAAAAAGTCACCACGTCATTCAGCGAAAAAAACATCAAACAAGGCTGATAGCGCCAAGGGTCGATGCATCGTTGGTCCAGTGCGCCACCGGTGATTTGCCACCACGCGCCAGGCATGAACCAGTGCTTTGCGCTTTGGGCGACCTGGATGATGTTTTAGGTGCCCCAGAAGAGCTGATGATTCGACGGAAGGTGCTGGAGCCAGTAGCCTGGCAGATATGTTGGGAAGGGAATGGAAGGATATGGAAGGGAGTTATATATGTATGTTATATACATTATCTACGGCTGTGACGACTTGTGGGCCTTGCCGACGATATGGCCCGATGACGAAGGGGTCCAAAAAACTTTGTTCTATCTATCTGTCTGTCTATCTATTTGTCTATCTATCTGTCTGTCTATCTATCTGTCTATCTATCTGTCTATCTATCTGTTTGCCTATCTATCTGTCTATCTATCTGTCTATCTATCTGTTTGCCTATCTATCTGTCTATCTATCTGTCTATCTATCTGTTTGTCTATCTATCTGTCTATCTATCTGTCTATCTATCTGTTTGCCTATCTATCTGTCTATCTATCTGTTTGTCTATCTGTCTGTCTGTCTATTTATCTATCTATCTATCTGTCTGTCTATCTATCTGTCTATCTATCTGTTTGTGTATCTATCTGTCCATCTATCTCTACGGCAAGGTATAGTTACCCAAACATATCTCTCAGACTCTCATAAGTGGACTATATAACTCAATTAGACAACTTCGAGTTTACAACCCATAAGTATGGTATTGAGATTCATAACCCGAGGATTCAAACACACAACATACTATCTTAACACAACCACTTTGTAAGTTGGGCAGCTCATATATGCCACAAGGCTCACTTTAGAACCAACTTAAGACCACTTAAAACCCACTTATCACCATACTTAGCACACATACTATCTTGCATACATGGGTCAAATACTTACTTAACCAGCGTGGTCAATCAAATATGACACCTGCATAGCAGTACTAGTGCGATTCTTCAATGTGGTGCGCTCTCTCAAAGACAGAAGTATATGCTCTGACTTTGGGGTCCTTCTTGTGAACATGAAGCAGGTCATCGTGGGCCCAGAAGCCCCCCAATGTCAACACTGCAGGACTCAGGCCAACTGATGTCAAAAGTTCCAGATGGAACACAGGAATGTAGACTTTCAGGTCGTCCTGGCATTAGCTAGAAAGTTTCCAGCAATGGTTCTCCGAAGCTTCTGTTTCTTGCAAGAAAAAGGGTAGGGAGAGAGGAAGAGAGAGAGAGAGAGAGAGAGAGCCTAGGACCGTTGGGGCGCTGACATGCCCAAATATATAATCCCAAATGCAATCACATAAGTATGGGACTGCACTGAGCTATCCTAATCTACTACAGGGCGAGCGTTATATAAGAATGTTCGTTGCCGATGGCCAGGGTCCCTCAATTTCTTATCGGAAAGGCCCCATGTATGTCAGTATATATGTACAATTATTCGGTCGAGGGTCCCTTAATTTCTTAGCAATTTCTTGATGTAGTATTTCACAAGCGGTAAGATTTGAAGATGTAAGAGCAGGGTTGCCTCTGCGCAGCTACTTTCGTGAGCTTGACTCCGCCATCCTTGCGCCGCTTCCCAGTGGCTCCTGGGCACAAAGGAACAGTTACAGTACCCAGTACAGAAAGCTCTTACAAACCCTTACATGATTAAGAAATTGAGGGGCTGGATTTCTTAGTTATGTATTGAACTGAACCCTTACCCGGTGACGTCTCCTCTACACGGCTCTTATAAACCCTTACATGGTTAAGAAACTGAGGCCTGGATTTCTTAGTTGTGTATTGATTTGAGCCCTTACCCTGTGGCAACAAAGGAAGCACAGGAAAGGCAAGGCAAGGCAAGCCAAGGCAACACGAGCCAAGGGCACAGACGACCTACAGTGAGTCTGGCTGGTGTCTTGCTGAAGTTGTTGCGAGCAGACTTGGTGATCGTGCCATAGCTCGACTTTGGGTTGGTCCTGCCCCCTTGCTTGTCATTCCCAACCATGCCATGGTTGTGCAAAGTTCATTTTGTCGGGTATTTGGTTGCAGCGGAGCTGGCCCCATTTCCCGCTCCAAATGGCATCCTTCTAAACCCTGTCCTGGTTAAGAAAATTGAGCAGGGGCGCAAAGAGGCTCCTTCACATATATCTAAATTTCTTAGCCTTTGAAATTCCAGGGCCCCTCGATTTCTTAACTTCCATTTGCATATATATTCGAAACATATATGGGGCAAAAAAATCCAGCCCATCATTTTCTGATACAAGGAATTCTTTACAGCGCTTGGACTGTATATCCTCACAATATTTGGGTATATCGGGGGTTGTTCAGTGTTGTGCACCAGCATTCGCTACATCCAAGATGTTCCCGAGCCATGTTCTATGATTTGTTCAGAGGGACTTACCCCCTATAAGAGGCAACCCAGCTGCCGTCTGAAAAGTGTTAGGCGTTTTTAGGGAAGCGTTGATTGACAAATTCGAGACAGACAGTCGGTGATTTTGACAGCAGTAGAGGGCGTAACGAACACAGCAAAACTGGACTGACAAAGCGCGATGTTGCTGGCCCTGACAACAGGATGAAAGTATGATGGCATTTAGCATGGCATGCTGCAAGCGTGAGTGGCGCAAGAGGTGTTTGTGATGGTGTTTGCCGCAATGCCGCTGGCTCCGGGCCGTTACCGCTCAACAATATACCGGCGTTTTACGGGCGGCGTAAGTTTTTGCTTCGCGAAACCGTTTCCAGACGGTATAGCAACATCACAAGCCCAGGCCCGTGAGCTCAGGTCTGCGTCCTATTCTGCACCGTCTGCCTCAGGGCTGACGTCGCAGCTGGCAGCGGCAATGCAACAAACGTGACGGGATTTGGTGTTTCTCATGCCCGTGGTGCTTTGAATTTGCTGGGAGCCTTGAAGTTGTTTATTGCCCGACAACAGCGATTGGTGGTGGCACTTGTGCACGTAGGACTTGGTGTTTAATTACTGCCCAAAACAGTGTGTCCACACTGAGGGGTTCTTACTGTAACTGTTAAAGCCATGGAGGTTAGATCAGGGTGCTCAATTTGGCCTCCGGCTTTTTCGCTGTAAATTCTCGTGTAAAAGCTCCGTTGTGAGATGGTGAGATGTCCATCTCCACTTCGATTGCGCAGGCTCGCCAAAGTGGCTGGCTTTGCCCTGTTCTCCGAAGGACCCGAAGGTGTCGTTTTACTAGCGCGCCGTGATGCTGGTTGTTTGAGCTATGTCCAGTTTTGGTGGCGGGCGTGGCACTTTTGGGGCATTTTGAGATCTAAAACGCTGTTTTGCGTGACAGGTGCGAGACATCGGATACTTTTTCATTCGCATGGCCGGCGTGGTACGGGTGAAAGTGAGAAGTGCTTTTGGAAGTCATTTTGCATGGCAGGCGCAATATTTCGTGAACTTGGACGACGTTTTGAAAGGATCGAAAAGTCTCGTTTTGTGAAAAAGTGTCGTCATTTTAAGATTTTGGACATGATGCTGATTCCTTGTGACCGGTGCGGCACTTCGGATGCCTCGGGCTCATTTGGGCTGATTTTTCATGGCAGTCGCAGTACTTTGTAGACCCCGACAAAAAAATTGCTGAAACCTAGGTACAACGTTTTTTTTTGACATTTTCAATGCTCATGTTTCGTGAAAATCTAACATGTGCTTGCGCAACCCTCTGCGAGTGTTTTACGGACCACACTCTAGCTCATCCCCTTAACTGCAGGGGTGGGGTAGTGGCCCATTGTCCGCCTGGTGTTGCGTCCGAATATTGAACCCCGGGTCTGACGCATGAGACCATACCGGCTCTCGCTCGCACAACCCTCTTGTGACTTTGTGCGTGTTGGATCGCTCTCGTTGTGGTGCGGTGCGAATTTTGATGTCGCTCGCGCATCCCTCTCGTTGTGGCGCGGTGCTGATTTTAGCTGATTCTCTGAGAATTGGGTAAGGAAATCTCATGAGTTCTTTGGGAGTGGCAGATCCTATAGCCTATGACAATCTTGCAAGGGTTTCATGGTACAGTCTTACAGGTCCGTAAAATATGAAGATCTTGACCAGGTCTTGTAGAGGTCCTTGTGAGAAGATGCTGTGAAGATCTTGGTGAATTCCTGCAAGAGGTCCTTGCATGATCGTGTACAGGCACCAGATGACCTCCTGTATGAGAAGACCTTGGGAAGGATCAGATCCAGCTGACATCCTGTATGACGTCCGTGCATGAAGATCTTGCAGATGCCATGTATTAGAGTTGCCATACAAGTAGGAAGTTCTTGTATGAAGATCTTGTAAGATCCTCTATATATAGAAGGTCCTTCTTGCACAGTTTTTTGAAATTCTATTAGATGTCCTGGTATGAGTTTCTGGTATGAGGCCGTGATGAATAGACATAGTGTCTCTTCTTGTGCCTATCGAGTTCTTGCTGTTGCAGCTACGCTAACGTCTAACCTGACCTGCTACTGTTCCATAGCTACTGATGTTTGTATCTGGCACACTGAGTTCCTACCACCACACTGTTTGGTTTTTTTTGCTGGTGTAAAATGTGTTTATGTTTTTTGTTTCCCAGCTGGCCATGGTTTGCAGTCTGTTTGCATGGCCGGCCGTGTGTGCTGAGGAATGCGATGGGCTGGTGGCCGCCCAAGGGTCGGCAGTGGACAAAAACTGCCGAACGGTTCCGGTCACATGATACTGCCCCCGGCCCCAAACCATGAACCCCAAAGATAAATTCAACATACCGGGTGGTGAGTGCTCACTAGTGGTATGGGTGAAGTGCCGCAGCTAGTCTCAAGTGATGGTTGGTGAACGTGTTGTTTCTTTGCCGGAATGATGCAATGGTCATCTTTGTTGGTTTGCAAATGGGCTTCAGCAGCTCGTTGCGGATTTGACACCCACTCCCCACTATGTTCCATTTGTTTGGTTTTGTTTTTATTTTTTGTTGTATTTATATATATATATATCATAGCAGGATATTGCAGGCAGATTTGCGTTTTCTTGCATTTGCATTTGTTTGCATGGTGACCTTCTGTGTTTGCACGAGAAATTTTCAGGTTCGTCCGCAAAGTGTTGTGATATGTCGTGATATTGGTTCATATGCTGCAAGCCTTCTCAACCTCACGCTCATTCCGACAAGAATTGATGGATTTTGGACCAACAAAAATGGAACGTCAGCCTAAACCCCACCATGGTCCACCATGTCTTATTTAGATGATACGGACCAAAAAAAACAACTGGGATGTGATCGGGATCATGGATCACAAAGGGTATGGGTGCAGTATGTATAAACATTTCAATTCAGAGACCGTAAAGTTGTGTGGTTCTATAGATGTATTTTTTATGTGTTTTTGACAACAATGTCGTTTAGTCCTTTAGTTTTTAGATATTTTTCGTAGTCGTAATTTTCAGTATTACAATTGCAATATGAAGGATTCTGTTTTGGGGATTTTTGGGCATCACGAGGTGCGCGTGTTGGATGCCGGAGTGGCTGGTGTGGACGTTCAAGTGCTGCAGGATGCAAATAGCCAAGAACAAGCTTGGTCCCTTGGTGCCTGGGAATTGGTTCCATGTCAAAACCTGATCCGGCAAGCACCAATCAGCCAAGATGATTCAGAGAAGTGCTCAAAGCGGGCAATGAGGTGAAATATGTTGTATGGTGTTGTATGTACACACTGTTTGATTGAATGCACTTGAATGCTTTGGAATTTGTGGCCCAGCAAGAATCATACTGGGAACTTAGGGATTTGATTTGTATCCAACGCCGTTGAGTCATGTCGTTTTCATTTCGTTTCATATATTGCAATGTAGAGTAGGCTTAAAAATATGAAATTAGATTCCTTGTGTGATTTGTATGCTATTGCCATACCATTTCAAAATTTCAAGTGGTTAATGAAGTTCTACGGTAAAGCAACCTGGTGCAAAACAACATGATGTGATGTGGTTATTTCAATCTAGAAATGTGATGCAGAGATCTGATTTCATGCAATGCAAGATGGTGTGAATCAATGCAACTCAGAGAAACACTACTTACATTGTTGTAATTGGGTGTCTTCCATGTTAAATACAGACATACAGGATCATACAGGTAGTGGACGGTAGTTGTGTTGATTAGTGCTGGTTTTTGTAGTCATTAGAGGTGGTTTGTTTTGCAGTGAGTTTCTCTGCGTATGCTGTCGAAGTGTTTTACGTTCTTACCCATGGATATCCATGGATTATGAACGTAATGCAATGCAACGAAAGGTATGCTCGTTGGGTTGGCAGCTGTTTGCAAACTACTTAAGATACCTTGTGGTTTGCGATTTGCTGCCCCTTGTTACACTGTGGGGTGCATTTTGCGGTGTGTTGTGTAATTTTCCCCGCAGCACGTGCGCTGCGCCCCACAGGTACTTCACTATACACTTTCATAATGTGTTTCATGTTTTTTCAGGGTTTCTTTAGGGTTGCTTTAGGGTTCACTGAGGGTTTCTTTGGGCTTTTTCCTAGGGATTTTCTAGGTTTTTTTAGGGTGTGTGTAAAAAGTGCTGAAAACCAGGATTGCCGGTCAGCAGATTCCCCGCAGAGGGTCATCAAACACGTCCGTGGGTTCGCAAACCCAGGGACATCAAGTTATAACATCTCTCAACATAGTGGAAGGCCACAAAGTACTGTAAGGGTCACCCAAAATGAGGTTCTCGACAATCATCCCAAAAGAGTTTGGGGCATGGCACAAGTGCTGGCCGTCATCTTACTGCACCAAGATGTAGCGCAATGTTCCAGGAATGGAATGTGTGCATGCGAATGCATATTATGCACACTCTTAAAGGTGATGTGATGCTACATTCTGCTGTGATGTCAATGGCGCATTTTCATCGAGGAACCTACTTGTTTCAAGTATGTTCACCTTTGTCCAGCATTCGGGAGATGAATGGAACAGGCTGAAACCACGTATTTGCTGTGTATCATTGTGCATCTATGTTTCCCAGCATGCTGATTTGAGATGATTTTGTAAAAAATAGGGAAGCATTTAATTTAGTTCGATGGGGCGCCTCAATGAGGCGGTGTTGGAGCTAAGCCCGCAGCGAGAGAGAGAGAGAGAGAAACATATATTTCGTTTTGATTTTGATGTGTATAATATATACTACGTTGGCATTTCGCATATTTTTTATTTTTTTCCGTTTGTGTGAGTGTCTCGCTAGCGTCCTTAAAGTAGCCAGTTTGGTTCCAGCACCACTGCATAGTCAAAGCCATCGCTTTCCTTGGTCTTGCCCTCAGTCAGATTTGAGGCTAAAGAGCATCCAAATGATGCTTCCGTATCACATTTGAGTTTTTACACATCATAGCTTAATTTGATAGCAATTTAAGGTCATTTGCTCTTCCACCAGTCCAGGGGTCCAACGGTCCAGTAGTTCACCCATCGCTCTGTGCCCAGGCCCTGTCCAGCCGTTGCCTTCTGCGGTGCCAAGCCACATCTCCCCTTTGCAGGCCAGCCTTGACCGGGATCAGGATGACTGGGAGCAACGATGTGCCAACTTGGACTTTAATAATTGTAAATTGGCTGAAAATTCCTGAAATAGCCCATGATCAATGCCACTCAATTGCTATTTACACCATCATTGCTGCCCCCTGTTTGCCCAAAGAAGCTCTCGGCTTGGTGACGTCACATGGTTCCTGCGGTCCTTGCGGTCATTGCGCGTGGAGTCAGGATGGCGGATCAGGAAGGAGTTGCTCAGCCGGCGGCACAGCCAGAGCTGCCAATCGGCGAGCCGGAAGCCTTGCAGCCTGCAGCCCCGCTGGAGGAAGAGCAGGCCCAGCATGTGGAGGACTTCTTGGCCCAGGAGCTTGAGGAGGCTGATGTGCAGTCCTTGGCCCAGCGGTCCCAGCGGTCCCACTACCAAGATCCCCTCGTGGAGGCCGCGTTTGACCACAACCAGCGGGCGCAGCGCGAGATCGTGGAGAGCGTCAGCACTCTTCTGAGCCAGCAGCCCGCCATGAGCGCAGAACTCCTGATGCTGCGCAGAACTCTATGTTGCTGGCTTCAGCTGTAAGCCCTTTTCAATGCTTCACGTGAACACGAGGCTTCTTGAAGAGGACCAAGCAAAGATCTTCTACTCCGTAGTCACCAGGGTACGCAAGTCTCAGCCCGCTTCATTTGTTTTGGAAAACGTTCCAGGAATACAGCGCTGCATGGATGAAGTGATGCAGACGTTGAGGGATTTGGGTTACATGGTGGTAGTTCACCTGCTCAATCCCACGGATTTAGGTGAGCCCGTCAGCAGGCCGCGCTACTATTTTGTAGGAGTTCGACAGGATGTGGCCATTGTTGGTGAAGAAGTGGCTCAAGGCATGTACAACCATATTTGGCAAAGGTTGAAGAGCTCCAGCGGTCCTGCGGTCCCACTTGGCAAGAGGCTCTTGCCTGCAGAGCACAAGCTTGTCTTGGAAAACCAGTCCCTTCGCCAGCAAAGGTGGGAAGATGCCAAAGCTGCAAACTTTGGTGGCGACAGTAGGTCGCAGAAATGGAAGCAGCGCCATGCAGCCTGGCAGTTGGAGCATGCTGAGAGCCAGATCCAGCCAGACCCAAGCATGCCAAGCCCTGATGAACTTTTTCTTCACCTACCACGTGAGCGTGATGTGTGGAAGAACTTGCTGACGGACAAGAGCATGCCTAGACTGGCAGTTGCTGACTTGTCCCAAAGTTTGGGCCGTGTGCCTTTGCGATCTGATTGCACACCTACCATCACCCCTGGGTCCCACGTGGTTGTGTCTGAAGCTCGGAGAATGTTAGCTCCCATGGAAAAGCTCTTGCTACATTGCCTGCCAGTGCACACCATGTCCTTTGAAGGCATAACCGATGCTGAGTTGGAGGACATGGGTGGGAACATGATGCATCTCCAGACTGTGGGAGTAGCAATGTTGGTTGCCATCGCCCTTGTGGATTGGGCCCAGCCTGGGTCTAGATGCGGGAGATTGCCACAAGAAGGCAACATGGTTCTTGCGGTCCATGCGGTCCCTTCGGCCCCCATGCCAGCAGCAAGAAAGAAATCACTGACTGCGGCAGAGAAGAAATTAGAAAGGCAGCTCCGTGAGCGATTCGGATTGAAGGTTGGCATCAAAAGAAGAGTGAAGGTTGACGCCTCAAGGCTAAAATCCCAGAAGAAGGTGAAGCTTCCCTGCTTACCTTTGCACAAAGCGTGCCTGCGTGGAACACGCTGGGCAGGCTGAGTGTTGAATTCGTTTTCATCTAATTCAGAGGCACTGTGAAGGTTCTTTCTGTCAGCGCCTGCTAAAAATTGAGGTACTTCGAGGTGTTCTTTGAATTCTCTTTCACATTTGCCATGACCTGTTGTTGTTAGCTGAGGTTGCTAGCTTGCTCCACTGCTACGCCAAGGGCTTGTGCATTGCCTGTCGGGCAGATGTTGAAGTCGCTACCCGTCAAGCTTGGAAGCTGGATCGGTTCTTGTGGTTTCGATCTGCTCTGCGCAGTAGATCTTTTCAACTTCAGATTGGTCCTGCGGTCAATCGGCTCCTTGACTCCTCTTAAGCAAAGTTACGTTGTTTCATTGGGCTGCCGAGTGTTTATTATTAAGCCAAGCCTCGGCAGTTATTCTTTGATGCTAGTTCCACCTGAAAGGTCATTTATGCGGTGCATCAGAACATTGAAACAGACACGTGGAATCTCAGGTCGTTTCAACACATCGCAGCTCAAATGATTCCAGCCTGTAGCAAAAAGATGGAAAAAGATCTCTTCATCCGGCTTGGCTGTTTTCTCGATTTTGCGTCAAAAACAGCCCAGAATCACCCCAAGCCAATACACCTCCAGTTTTCAAAGACCAAGGGCGTAATGAAAGGGGATTTTCCCCTCCAAATACCAAAACTCAGGAATCGTACAATTGGGAAGCTTTCTCTCCTCTCAATCCACCTCCGGTTTTCGAAAACCAAGGGCGTATTGACCTTGGCATTGCCCTTCTCAATACGCCCTCGGTTTTTAAAAACCAGTGCCACGCCGCTTATAGCTTCAAATTTTTGAGGATTTTGCATCTTCGCATGGCTTAGTGGATCTACGCATGATTTAAGTGCATCTTCGCATCAATGTCATATTTGTATAAATATGTATAATTATGTGTATATATATATATATTATATGTATGTATGTATATGTATATGTGTATATGTATACGTATATACGTATATGTATATGTATATATATATATATATATATATATATGTAAAAATGCGCATACTATGTATAATATCTCTGTCGCACGTGTGAAGCATGCATCTTTATGTATCTCTATGTATGAGTATGTGCATATGTGCATGCATATTCATAGAATGCATGTAAAACTACAAAAAACTTACAAGTATGTAAACGTGTGTGTTGACCTCCAACACCTGTGAGGCCATGCCTCCAACACCAGTGGAAGCCAAAAAAGCAGTGAGGCTGTGGTTGGCCACTGTTCAGTGTGGCTTGCCAAAAGAGGAGTGGAACCGTACAAGCCGCCTTGCCTTCAATGTGTCACGGCATGAAATTTGTTGATTTGGCTTGAAGAGTTGATGTGATCAAGACAGACCTTCTCTGAGCGCATGGTTTTGTACAGCTTTGAATTCCCTTTTACCTGACAATGACGAGAATAGTGGTTCTCTCTCCTATTCCCTTGCTCCACATGTTATCTTCCAATTCTGCCAAGAGAGAATTTCTATACCTTAATGTAGTCCCAGACATTTAGCATTTCCTTCATGCCAGGGTGGAATCAATGCTCATTGCAAGACAGGTATAGGGCTAGAAGATGCGGATCATGTGGCTAACAGCTTCTTTTAGCAATTTGATCGCAAAAAAATCGCCAAAAAGGAGCTGTCCAAGTTGAGGCTATTTTGCAGCCAAAGGAAGCTTCAATGCACAGTTTTGTTAAATCCTGCGTGAAAGCTTGCTTTACATGTATTTTAGCCTCATCCCTTATTTGCATTTGCCGTTGCAGCAATTTCTACAGCCGTTGCCATTGTTAGGTCCTGGCGGTCCAGCGGTCCTGAGTAGCCATGGCAAAAGCTGTGCCCGCAGTTCGGCTTCGTGGCAAGCAGCCATGCCCTCAAAGAGTGAAGAAGAATGGCCAAAAGTCAAAGGGCAAGCAGACCAAGCCAAAACGAGACACGATTCGATGTCAAGCGTTGAAAGATGGCTTGTTGCCACCTGCTAGAAGGCCTTTTGCGCTCTTTGTCAAGGACAACGTGCGTGGGCAGAAAGGAGGTGGGAGAAGCGAATGGCGGCTTGAGATGAAGCGCTTGGGGGCCATGTGGCACAAGTTACCCATTGACCAGAAGAAGCGCTACTTTGACCAATCCAATGCCGAGTTTGCCAAGCAGCATTTTGTGATGAAGCAGATGGGCATGCCACTGCGAAAGTCAAGCTCGCGAACAACTCACACGCTGGCAAAGGACGTGCTTCCAGAACCTGAAGATCCTGTCATGATCGGAGGCTACAAGGTGGTGAATGCGGATCCTGGCCTTCCTGATTGCCATCCCCTAGGTGAAGGCGCTTATGGCAGCGTTTTCCTTTGCTTAGACAAGCTTCAACGAAGATGTGCTGTGAAGGTCTTCAAGAAGAAGAGCGCACTCGAGGATCTCAACCATGAGCTCGTCCTTTTGCAAGCATTGCAAGAACAAAGCGACCAGAAACTCCGAGGATTTTACCCCTGCATTTTGGAAGCACAGCCCTGTTTCAAGCCTTTTCCATTTTTGGCTCTTGAATATTGTGGCTCCAGCTTGTTTTCTTTGCTTGGGGAAAAAGGAGCTTTTAGCGTAGATGACAGTCGCGCCATCGCTTTGCAGCTGAAAGCTGCAGTGCGTGGCTTGCACTCGTTGCAGATTTTGCATTTGGATTTAAAAACAAGCAATGTGCTTTGGTGCGTTGTCCGGCGTGAGCTCAAGTTGGCAGACTTTGGGATGTCTGAATATATCCCAGGGTATGGTCCTTCAATTCGTTTTCCCATGTATGTAACAGCAAGTTACCGAGCCCCAGAATTGTGGCACGCTGCTCAAAGGGACCTTTCCAAGTGGTTGGGGCCTGCAGTCGATTTATGGTCGTTTGGTTGTGTTCTCTATGAGGTTGCAGTTGGAAAGATCCTTATGCGCCCACTGCGCAACAACCTTTGTGGTTGTGAGAACACCATCAAGGAGTGGTGCCAGCAGTGGCAATCCTTGCAGAAATCATTGCAGGGATCAATAAGACCAAGTCTTTCAAATGCACAGGTCAGCCGAAATTTTGACTATCGGCTGGTGAATCGTTTGCACTTGCTGGAACCAAGCTTCAGGCCAGCAATCAAGGCTATGCTCAACCCGGATCCTGCTCAGCGAGATTGGGCAGGCATTGATTGAGCTAAATCTGTAGGGTTTCTAGGGGCATAGAGACCTGCTGTGCGGATGATGGGGTAACTCATCCTGGCGGTTCAGCGGTCCAGATTGCGAAACAGCGACTTCCATCAGCTTTCTGGAGAAACAAATGTGCTCAGGGAGTGCAAGTCATGAGCGCATCGATCTGGTATCCATGTCATTGTGTAGGAAGATGAAACCAGCACCATTTTGCACTTCATATTTGCCACTTCCTGGCGGCTGAGGTCTTGGTGCAAACGGATGGCGCATGTGCAAGACAGAAAAAATGGCAGTGGCTTGAAATATACCCAAATCCCTTAATATTTTTCGGCACCGTTGAATTGCCATCCCAGTATATATATATATATATATAGGTGCATATATGCACTGTATTTGCATGTGCGCATGTGGGTGCCCAATTTGCATCAAGTTGGTACAGAGGGATGCAGGACAGCTGGACAGATAGTTGGTATAGATGGCTAGATAGATACGTAGATAGACTGTAGATAGATGATTAGATGAAGGATACCATTTTGCCAATTTAACATTGCCCGCCAAGAATCCCCCGTTGATAGTTGTTGTCCCGGTCAAATGAACATCTGGGGATTTCCCTGTCATGTTTGATCACCTGAGGGTACATCCCATTAAAAATCCTCGTTAATTATACATCCCCATTATATACCCCGGTAAAGACCATGACATCCCATTAAGTCTAAGATACATACATATTTAATCATATTTACATACCATAAAATCCCATGAAATCCCATGAAGTTTGTATATATATATATATATATATCCATGGAATCCCATTAAGTCTAAGATACATAAATATTTACATACCATAAAATCCCATGAAATCCCATGAAATCCCATCACTTCAACATCCCCCCGGAGGGACAACTTTTCAGCAGCCTTGGTCCTAAGGATCGACTTCACCGAAGCCGCCATCCTTCGCGGGGAGAAAGGTGCCGAAAAGGGACGTCCCAACGAAGTGGAAGTGGTGATGTAATATGGTTTTAACATGTTTTAACGTATGAACCGCCTCTTAGCTTTAATGATCCCAAAAAGTGTGTTGGTGTTGGTGATCTAATCTAATTATTCTAATTGGTGATCTAGTATGGTTTTGCCATGATTCAGCATGAATACTTCAGGTAGTAGGAGTTTAGATTACATAGATTACTTTTGAAATCTTATGAAGAAATTGAAGAATGGGAATTGAAGCATCACCAGTAGGGACTAAACCTAACCATCAACAATGGGGATATAATATGATATGGTAGCGGTGGAACACATATAAACAGACATGGACCAAGCCAGAGAATGACTGTCAGCAACCATGAAGGCAATGACTCACAATAGTACAGCGATAGTTGATTCAACATTGACATCCAGTTGTCGTGTTTCATCTTCCCGATTGGCCCAGAAAGGAGCAACACAAAAAAATTGGACATCCCCAAAATCCAGTTCTTTCGACATTTTTTTTTGTCCAACTACATGTCACGAAAGGTAGCTCCAGAGGGGCTACCTTGAGTTTTACTTTACGAAGTAAAGGGGAGGGCGGCCAGCCCCGTTACCTGATTCTTCAGGAGATTGCTAGTCATTTTAGTAACCCCCCCCCCTCCACACCTCCCACGCACCCTAAGAGCAGACTCAAAACATTGTAATTTACAGTATTTTTGTTCTTTTCGGATCAAGAAACCACATTTTGCTACATGGTGAAACCTCCGTAAATACCAGTGTTTTTGCTAGGTGCCGGCCAAAAAACACTGTAAATACCGTGCTTTTTACTACCAGAGGCAAAAAACATCGTAAATACCGTGGTTTTGGGCTTCCGACCCGCCAAAAACATTGGTATTTACGGTGTTTTTTGATCCGAGCGATGCAAAAACACGCGAAAACACCACCGATTTGACGATTTTCGGCCACTACGGAACCGAGCAAAAACGCTGCAGGGGTAACACCAACACCGACAAGAACAACACCAACAGCAACAGCAACAGCAACAACAACAACAACAACGACAACGACAACGACAACGACAACAACAACAACAACACCAACACCAACACACAACGCACAACGCACAACGCACAAAGCACAAAGCACAACGCACAACGCACAACGCACAACGCACATCACACAACACACAAAACACACAAAACACACACAACACACACAACACACACAACACACACACAACACACAACACACAACACACACAACACACACACACACACAACACACATACAACACACACACACACAACACACACAACACACGCAACACACGCAACACACACACAACACACACACACAGAACACACAGAACACACACAACACACACAATACACACACACACAACACACACAACACACACAACACACACAACACACACAACACACACAACACACAACAACACATAACAACACACCACAACGCACAACAACACACCACAACACACAACAACACACAACAACCACAACAACCACAACAACCACAACACCCACAACAACCACAACAACTACAACAACAACGAATGACAACAATAACGACAACAACACACAACAACACACAACAAAACACAACAACACACAACAACAAACAACAACACACAACAACACACAACAACACACAACAACACACAACAACACACAACAACACACCACAACACACATCAACACACCACAACACACCACAACACACCACAACACACAACAACACACAACAACACACAACAACACACAACAACACACAACAACACACAACAACACACAACAACACACACAACAACACACAACAACACACAACAACACACAACAACACACAACAACACACAACAACACACAACAACACACAACAACACACAACCACAACAACACACAACAACACAACAACACACAACAACACACAACAACACACAACAACACACAACAACACACAACAACACACAACAACACACAACAACACCCAACAACACACAACAACACCCAACAACACACAACAACACACAACAACACACAACAACACACAACAACACACAACAACACACAACAACACACAACAACACACAACAACACACAACAACACACAACAACACACAACAACACACAACAACACACACAACAACAACAACAACAATAACAACAACATCAACAACAACAACAACACCATCAACAGCAGCAGCAGCAACAACAGCAACAGCAACAGCAACAACAACAACAACAACACACAACAACAACAACAACAACAACAGCAACACCAACAACACGACCAACAACAACAACACCACCAACAAACCCAACCACACCAACAACACTAACAACACTAACAACACCAGAAACACTACCACCACCAACAACACCAACAACACCAATACCAACAACACCAACAACACCAACACCACCAGCACCACCAACACCACCAACACCACAACCGCCACCAACCCCAACCACATCGCCGAAGCCTTTCAGTCGCTTTTACCAGACTCCCCTTCATATTTTTGGAAAGAAACTGGCCGCGTCGCTTTTACCAGACTCCACTTTATGTTTTTTTTCCCTGCCCTCTCCCCTTCATTTTTTCTTCGGTTCCTTTCTTGCTTACCTACCTTTCGTGTTCCCCCTCTCAAGTAAATATTGCGGTAATTCCTCCACTTTTTGGAGAACTCCACGATGTTTTTTCGATGTCAGATCGCACGAGCCAGGAAACTTCAGCGTGGAGGCTCCGGTGATGGTTTGCCCTGAGTATGCATCGAGATACAAGCGGCTTTGACTTGGACTGGTGTTCTAAAAAAATATTGGGATGGGCTGATGGGCTCGCTGCCATGGGGGTTTCCATAAATGGGGAGCCCCAAATATCCCCAAAATGCTTGGTTTATTTCATGGAAAATCCTATTAGAATGGATGATTTAGGGGTACCCTCGTTTCAGGAAACCCCCATATGTGAAAAGATGTGAAAGTGATATGGAATGAGATGCCAACATCAGAGATATCCAGAAGTCAAACGTGGCAATGGAAAATCCTCTGTCCATGGAGGAGTTCCTGGGAAAATCATCTATAAATGGTGGATATTGGTGGATGTTCTATTACCGCGTTTGATTTCCGGAGAGTCGGAGAATAAGTCGTGCGTGAACGTGTTCTGATTCATAACAAGTTGATTTTGTTCTAGCTTGAAGGGAAGGGCAGTGCCAGGCTGATATTGTTGAAACTTGATTGTGCTCTTTAATGTATCACTCCCGACTGACCCCACCAACATCTACTGTTCTGTATGGGTAATGGTGCGCCATGCCACAAGAAACATTTGACTAGTGGCCTCATTGTTTCCAAGCCTAGTTCGTTCCTCATGTACCTTGAAAATTACAGCAAGATGAAACAATATTTTTACGGCGATGGAGAGAGGGAGAGAGAGAGAGAGAAAAAAAAAAACTGTGTTTTTTTTGGAGGAAGGGTGTAGGATTCCAACCAGACATGTTTTGCATCTCAGCTAGATGGTCCATGAGAGTGTCATTTGCTAAGGAGTGCCAAAGATGCAGTGGTTGGATTCGCAACGGTGGTTTGGCGGCAGCCCAAATCGGAAATGCCCTGATCTGCCATCAGTATCCATCAGTATCCATCAGTATCCATCAGTACCTACTGATCCCAATGGAGATATGAGATGCACAACAGTTTTTGGTGCCGTTGAGGGCGCAGGCACGGAGGTTTATATCATCAGCAGGAGATCTGCAAGACAGTGGCAATGGACTGTGAAAAAGTCTTTGTCAAGCAAACGCAATGGCCCCGTTAAGCCGAAAACATTACAATGAAAGGTACACGTAGTTCTGGTCAGCATTCACCACATGTACTTGTTTTTGCCAATATCCGCACAGTGCACTTAGACACTTGCATGACATGCGCATGTAATGTGTATATTATATATATATATATATCCGTCACATGTTTTTGCAATTGAACATGTGGGTGTGTGAAATATGTGGCACATGTGGTCACATGTGTACATATAGTTATATAACTATATTGATGGAGATGGCGATGGAGAAACATAGATGGATGCATAGTGGTCCTAATGATTGTTAATCATCCAGTGAGACGTAAATGAATCTACCGTTGTTTTCCTCATTCATATACCCATATCATCCCATATTCTATAATACACCTATACTGTGCCTATACTTATATATAGGTATGCATATGACCCTATCTTGATGTAGATATTCACAGTGTTGTTGATGTTGAACCTTTTGTCAATGGATTCCCTTAAGGGAAAACATATATACAGGAAACCCCCATACTTCATGGGAAAATCCCTGGTTTCCTGTAGATTTTCCCTCAAACCAATCCATTGATTTTGTGAATATCTCGCCGCCGCGGCCTTCCGCCGCATGTCCTGTGCTACCGAGGAGGTCTTTTTGTTGGTGCCCGCCACGTCGAGGCAGTTGGCCGCCGAAGCACTGGCCTCTGAGCTGGAACTGCTGGCACAAGAGCCTTCACGAGGTCGGCCGTAAGGTCCAGTGGGACCATCCAAAAAGAGCAAAATATGGTGGGATAGATCAAATGGGGGTCGTAGGGAATATCATGGGCATAGTACCTATATGATCCTATATGTACCTATCATGGGAGTACATTATTCCAAGTATTCTTAGCTCTTTTGGGAATGGAATGGGCAAAGCCGCTGCGGATATACTACCAAACCCATCACTGATGGGGATGCCGTATGAGGATAGAACCAGTTTTCATCCCCGCTGAGCTGATCAAATAGAGGTGACATGACTTGGGAACATCAGGTTGTGCCTGTCCTTTTTCACAAACAGCTTGTGTTCTTTTTGGATGGTTTTCTGAGCTGATATGTAGATACATAGTATCTACTGTATCAATGGGATTGCGGGTTGCTTCCCATGTGTGATCCCATGTGCCTAACTTTATAGAAATTGCATATACATGGCCCAGCAGTTGGCAAAGTGTAACATGCCAAGTAAGACAGGTAGGGGGGGAGAGAGGGGGAGAAAGAGCACGAGAATTGTTTAAATCGATCATGAGACAAGAGACGTTGATTGCAGCACTCCATGCCTACTGGATACATTTTAAGACACAATCAGGCTATTTTGATTAATATTCATTGTTTCTGCTAGCGGGGCAGCTTTGAGCACCAGCCATGCTGACTTGAGGTGTTGGCCAGACCTTCCAAGATGCCTCTAGGTTTTGGCATTTCAGATACAGATAGTTCAGCTGTCCCATCAATTGCCAGAGCTGGTCGACCCACTGCTTATCCCCACACATGACTCTGCAAGCAAGGGGTTGAGACAATATTGGGAAGATGATTGTTTTGTTGTATAGTTTTTTTTCTAGGATTGTTTGTCTTTTACTTGTTCATTTGTTGATCTAATCTGCAACGAACCACTGTGGCATTTTCGTGTCTATGGATGCTTTTCCCTATCACCTAAATTGTGGAGATCCATGAGTGATCCCGAAATGGAGGATTCTGGGAGCAGCAACTACTACTGTAGATTTTGAAGAGGTGAACGACATTCAGGAGACACTACTGAAAGATCCCACCAGATTCCAACAACCTAAAACTGGAAGAAGAACAACAACAACAACACAACAGAACGTCATCAAAATCCTACCCTAACTCTGCCAATTTTCATTTTGGAATCTTCAGTCTAATATGATCGCTAGCATTAACATGTGGGTTTGTTTGGCAATAGGGTACCTCAAGAATTTGATGAATAATCCTTGCTATCCTATCAAAAATTGCAATAGATTGCTATAATATATCAAAAATTGCGATAGATAGCTATGTGTATATATATATACTGCTATACTTCCATGTTCAGACGCATCCAGTTGTGAAAACCAACGTTGGTTGGTAAACGTCCCGGTGATTGTGAACATTGTGAACATCGCTGTCAAATATTTCGACAACAGAGATCCCCAATAGTTGGGTGAGGTTCACTTCGGACATCTACCATCATCTACCAACTCTTCTGGTTAATATTGGTTAATGATTATAGAATTGATTTATTACATTAGTACTTGAAGTACTTGGTGGCTCATCCCACTTAGTAAGTGGGTTATAACCCCAGTTATAAATGGGATAAGTAGGGTTAATCCACTTATAATTGGGGTTATAACCCACTTACGAGCAGTGGGATGAGCCACCAAGTAGCGATTCACATGGATTTCCCACCAGATCCTTATCCAATTGGGACCGAGGTTTGGGCGAAGTTACCTTGGCGTTGCGAGCCCTTGACGCAGGGCCGCCTGGAGGCGGCCGCGGAGCGCTGCGCAGAGGTCCAGATGCGTTCCGCGTGAGGGGCTGGAGGCTGCGGAGGGGAGATGGGCGAGATCCCAAAATGTTGGAAGCCGGGACTCCCGGGACAAGCCAAATCTTGGAATGAAGGTTTTGCAGCCAGAGACCCCAGATCAGTTACAAAACCTTTATGGTACAACCAATTTAGGGTACCAATTTAGGGTACACTACGGTGGAAATGATTGTGAATGTGTCATCTTGGGCCAATCTTGGGTCTAGTTTGGTTACTCTAGTTTCGGCGTATTGGGATCACAAAAGTGACCGCAGGAATGTCAGTCTTAGTTTGGTAGGGATGGGATGGGGCCACATCCCACCGAGAGGCTCCAAGACCTGAGATTCCATTTTTGACAGCATTTAGGCTGGAAAATTACCATTGGCATCGATTGGCACAATTATGAAGCCTTTAGGCCCCAGAATGGAGTGCCAGTCCCAGAAATGCCCATGGCTCTGCCCATGAAATGTCCATGAAATGCCCATGAAATATGAAGCATTTTCCCAACATCGTTGAGCTTCTGGGCACGCCAGGACAGCGATATTTCAGGTCGATTTTCGTGCCCGGCAGGGCTGCCAGTGTGGTGGGGAGCGCCTGGTAGCACCCAGCACTGGTGGGAGTGGTTCGGAAGCAAATCTTGACCGCCTTTGGAACCCCTCTACTAATTTGGACAATTGGATGAAAATGGAATGCTAGATTTTTGGTGCATTGTAGCATTTTTTTCTGAAAATTCATGGGTTTCTCATTGTTCCACCTGCCAAAGGCAGCCCATGCAAGAGTTACTAAACTCAGCACATCTCGACACCCTGGGGACGGTTTCATTGCTGTATAGACGATCTCTAAACTAAATACCCCAATTTAGAGCATTTTGTCCAAAACCCAAAGAGAGTGGATGGCCTTGCCCATTTGTTGATGCAGGGCCACCCCCCGACACTCCATCCATGTGTTGGCTGAGCTTCAGCTGTTGGTGCGCCATGGGCGCAAGCGCGGCTTGCGCCCTATGACCGGGAAAATGTGACGTGTGGAGCTGCTGATCGGAAGGAGAGATATACCAAAATGCGAAGGAAGCAATCCTTGTGGATACAAGGGCCAAGAATCTGGGTGTATTAATTATATAATATATATGTTTGTGTATATACATACATGCGCGTATAATATATCAGACCAATGTGTGTGATATACAAAATATATCCTTGTATTGTATTTGCAAACATCTGTATGTACATGTTATATATATAATATATACATTATGTTATATCATGTGCATATATATATATATATATGACGTACATACACACACACATATATACACATATATACATGCACATATATTTTGTAGCTGGGTGTTGGCATTTTGACTGTCTAGTGCTTGTACAAAATTATTACCACGATGGAAGATCCATGCAGATCCATGGTTATTTTCCGGGAGTTATTGTGGTCATGGAATCGAAAGGTACTGAAATACCACCCCCAACAATAGGCGGCTTACGGAGCCCCTAATAAGGGTTGATGGTTGTTAAAAACATCTAAATCACGCAGTGGATAGAGAAATGGAAATGCAACAGGACATAGGTGATTCTTGCCATACACTCTTTTTTAGCGGGGCATGGCCACTCCTTTAGCCATTGGCAAAGCTCTGGGACAGTTTGGGACATTGATGGTTCAGGAGTTCAAGATAGCCATCTATTCACGAAAGGTAGCGTCAGCTACCTGAGTTCTCCGTGCTTCAGCACAATCATAGGGGGTATTGGGGGGCCAGCCCGTGCAATTCATGGAATTCTCGCCGTTATGTATTGGATATCAATTATAAGGGGGGGGGCCCCCCCCCCTCTAAAATGGTCATGGGTTCAATTCCCACGGGTGACGCGGTCACGGGCCCCCACATTAGAGGCACACTTTCCATGAGGGAGATGTCCCTGTAGTCCAGCATAATTGGTATGCTTCAGCCTCAATAACAGTTGCTGCAAGGGGGGGTTTTAAATAAACCCCTTTTCGTGCATCATTTCACGCTGCACAAGACACCGTATCATGCAGTCATGCTCTGGATAAAATCATCTTAGACTGCGTAAAAACGTTTTTGGTGTATCATCTTAGGGGCGCAGCATTTTGACACCACTCCTCTCCCACTACACTACCTTTCGTCCGCCTCCGCCTGCTCTCAAGTTTCTTTGGACGTGATCCTGCAGCTATTTGATCGGGTTTGCGTCACTTCACATGAGGGTCACAAGCTTGAAAAACAACAGAACCAGAGGAGTACTATCAGCAGCAAGCTTTCTATGAGACTAGCTGCTTCAAAATTTTCAAAAGGCCAAAGAATGGTAGCTTAGTCTATCCATTCGGGTCGGGCCATGATGTCATGGTTTTTACACCAAGCCCCATATGTATTCTACGGCCGCTTGCTGTCAAAAGTGCTGAGCAAGTCCTGTGACCAATATTCAAAACAACCAGGGAAACACCGAGATGAATTTCCCGCCTTTTAAAGTCGGTTCAGTTTATAGCCCTGTTTCATCTTGTTTCTTGTTCGTGGGTAGTATGGGCATAGCTCCAAAGACGGTGAAAAGTCAGTCCATTCTTGTGATTGATTGGCAAGACATTTGTTGCTGCTGCTGCGGCCGTGCGGCCGTTTTCAATGCCACCGTCCCTTGGTTGTGAAATCCAATTTTTACAGGTCTGGCAGAGGTGAACATTGGATGAAGTTGGTAAGCATAGAGTCCATCTTCATGTCCAGGATTGGCTGAAGGTGACTAACTGTTTGTAATATATATATATATATGTCTTCCAACCTGCTGCCAACCTCCTCAGTATTTGAAAACCTTTGAGCAAATGCAAGGTCCTGCTAGCTGCACAATTTACAGTATCCAAGGCTATGTTTTCTTGTTATCATTGTTGCGATGGCATATGTTTGAACTCCTGAATGAACAAATTGGTTCAATCGCACATGTTGAGTATCATGATGTGCCTGGCATTGCCTGGCTGCGCCGCCTTTTCCATCAGGAATCCTCCAACGGTGCACAAGCATGGAGTGGAAATCATGCAACTTGGTGGGCGTCCAAATGGTAGGCACGTCTTGTCAGGAAATCCAAAATTTCAGGATGCCCAGCCTTAAGACTTGTTTATTGCTGTAATCTCAGGAAGAGTCGATAATGTGGCTACAGATTTGGCTTGCCACAGTAGCGTACATGACTGATTCTGTCCTCTGTGTAGCATGTGGGCCACCAAATCTTTACAAGCCTACATGGGCCGATCAAGTGATTGCACCGTTTTGATTGAGGGATGAGTTGAAACAAGCAGCCAGCTTACTTTTGAATGAAGCAGGGGTATCGGGTATCTGAAGCAACAAATCAGTGTTTGCTTGGGCACCCTCAGGTATCTGTGCGACGGCGAGGTCCCATATGTCTGCATGGAGAGCGGGCCTGAAACTGAGAAAACAAAGCAGATCACCAAGCTAACTCTGGCAATAACTCTGCTTATCCGGTTTATTCCTACAACTTACAACTCTGCTGCTGACATCTATAAAGCAGCCATATTGGCAGAATGTTCTCGCGAGGTCGCCCTTCCATGAGTACGCATCCAGCATGCTTCAATGCGCCCTCAGTAGTGGTACCAAGGCGAGGAGTTTTTAACAAATCACGGTGGACGACGGTGGATGTGATAACTGTTTGATATCCAAAGACCCACATGAAAGGCGGTGATGGGATGTGCATAGTATTATTTTTAATTACATAATATATATATACATGTAATTATATGCATATTATATCATATTATCACATATATTTGCGTATTTATATACGCACAATGGGTGTGTGTATGTGTTTTTTTGTTGATTTCCGCTGCCAATTGTGATCGACTCAGAGACTCACCAGGCAGATGGCCTCTATACCTACTGCAACGATAAGCGACTCAATGTCGCAACTTGCTCGTTGAGCTTCCAGGTTGTTCTTGGTTCCTATAGCCCCTATATGAAACAGCCTGAAATCATGATAATTATAAATGATAATCATGGTTGCCTAGGGGATTCATAGACATTTTTAGGACCATTTATGGTAATAGGATAGACCCTGAGACCAGGGACTCATGGGGGTCGAGCTGTTAGTTGGAGAAGGTGTGTGCCGTTCATGGTCAGCATCACCTTTCAGGCGCTCTTTTGAACCAATCATAAACCAATCATAAACCCCCCTTAAACATGTTAAACCGCAAAATGGTACTCTTTGATTTGCTACTGCAATCTTCGGTAGCAAGGTAAATCCGTTTTGACCCACTCCATATTTCTTGAGATGTCTTGGATCGTCTTGGTCCAGTTTGGAATCCTTGATCATCTGATCCCACTGAGGAACTGAATAGATTAAGCATGAAGCCAGCCGAGTACATGGTGGCGCAGGCGGGAATGATGTGGAATTCCTGGAAAGACATCAACCAAACAGTGATTTCCCAGTAGAAACAAACTGATTTCTGGCTGAGATCATGGTAGCCTGGTAGAATTTCTTAGAATCAGGACAGTTCAGGACATCTGCAGCCACAGGTTCCCAAAAGATAACACGACCCTCCATGTTTTCTTTCAAGATGAGTGCAAAGTTGAGTGGATGGACACTACTTCCCCCCGCTACCCAGAACTGTTCAGGTCGATGTATTTTCATGCCAGTCTGTAACCTGGTGCCAGGTAACATCAGGTGACCTATTTCTAAGCTCACTTGATAAGACAATAACCATACAGAATCATACAGATACAAGGACTGTAAGGCCACTGTAAGGGCCTCAGGTAGGAAAACTAACTGGATAACCATACTTGGTATATATCATGTTCAACTGATTCAACCGTTCAAACTCCTGGTGTGTAGAAGCTTTCGCTGCTGTGTTTCCGGTAGGTGAAACAACCGCGCATGGAACATGTCAAAGCTGTTGGCGGCACCAAGCGTTCTTTGTTGATCGGCCTGGTCATTAGCAACTTGCCTTGACATGGGGATCATTGTTTGCTTTGACGCCTTGGCAAGACATCCTTGATCACTTGTTTAGAAGTATCACAAAAATTGAGATCAACTATAATATATATAAATTGAGATGAACTAAGATGAACTAAGAAGAATTAAGGCCAGTTAGGAACCGCAGGCTGCATCAGATCCTGCGTTATTTCCTTGTCGGATGGGGCTGCCGCAGCTGAACCTGGCTCCAGATTTCAACATCAGCCATTGTCCATCTGACAGTATTTCATCGATAATCTATAGATGAAATTAGATGAATCAGTACCCAATAAATGATAATAAATGCATATGCTGCATCTAGCATTTGGTGGTGTATTTTCCATCATCGATCATTTGATGTACATTCCATCATCCCATCCTGGCCATGCGTCGCAAGCCGGGAATCGCTGGGCTCATCAAAGAGAAGGAACAGCAAAGCGCCTTGAGTGCGGTGGGCGAACAGATCGAGGTCGGGCCGTTGCTGCGCCATGGAGCTGTGCTGATGTTGGAAGATAGTTGTATATAGTTGCAGTATGTTGTAGTGGCTATAGATCTTCAAGGGCCATCAAGTATCATGAAATAACACGTATAACGAGAGAGAGATATATATATATATGTGTATTAAAGGTCTACACTATTGTAATATCATGTTGTATATACAATATCGATGACATGTGATATGTATACACAGTATATATAACAATATCTAGGGGTACTGTATACTATAGAATATCACAACATCTATTTCTGGAAAATATATAGCAGGCTTATTACCATTGCATCACAATCGTTATATCTTATTATCTGGTTACCTATAGTATTTTTGTAGGTTGATTCAATGAGAAGTAGAATTGATATATCATATCGTAACCAGGCCTAATGGCAATACTGTAATACAGTAATACTTGTGGCGAGAACTTGTTTTCTTTGGAATGCTTCATGAAGTCATTTGTACCGTACTGGTGACTAACAGCTGAAGATTCAACGTCAGCTGATCCAGTAGTGCTGGGCCGGGAATTGCACGGTCATACTCCCGTCCCTCCTTAATAGTGTTTTCTCTGAAATGAGCAAGCAAAATAAATAGATCCAATACTAAACCTGGTTTGTTGGTTTGTTCTACTTGTAGTCAGTGATGATTGTATGGCATTATGTGACAGGTTAATTTATTTGCAACAATTGTATTGTATATAATGACAACAAATTATGATTCAATCATGATGTGTTTTTCACTTTTGGTTGCAACATATTTTGTCGCTGAAACAGTTCACATTATTTTGCAAAGCTGTTCAAGGTCTGATTCATGCTGACATCTCTTAATTAACTGTTCTATCACTCATAAAAATAATGTCAATAATGTGAACAACACATCCCCAGCCCCAGTGGTCCTGATGTCACGGCCAGGCAGATAAGAATCAGAATGCGAAGCAGCTACTCCAAACGTTGCAGAGCTCACTGCGAGACTTTGCCTCCAGACATCGAAACCGTAACTTCGACTCGATCTGCTGAGTGGATGAATTTTGATGTTCCCATTAGCAAATCCATCATTTGGGTCTCATTTAAAATTCATCTAAAAAAAAAACGGATTTCCTATAGACCTATGATACCCATTGGTAAAAATCAGTTTGTGTTTTTTTTTTTTTGTGGGCATCATCTAAAGCAATTCACAGTAACTTCGAGACCATTGAGAGAGGTGCGCAGCTGGCAGAAGAGGTCAAATGGTGGAGTCGGATGAGGGTACATATGTTTGCCCCAAGTGTGAAACTACCAACGGGATCCAGAGGGTACCTAGTTCAGGTGTCACCCTAACGCGATTCCCTTACTGTAATCAAACATGGTTTGCCGGAAAGTCCAGTATTTAGTTCAAATGTTTTCCCATTCATAAAACTGTTTATTTAACATAGCTGTGAAACATGGCTCATTTATAGATAATCGTCTCATTATTTAACATAGCTGTGAAACATGGCTCATTTATAGATAATCGTCTCATTCAAAACTGCTTTTATAGTTTTTTTTCTCCATAGCTATAATGTCAAATAGCCAGAGGGTAAATGTTCCCACAGATGGCCGGAGGGTCTTCAACGGTTCCAGGCATCAATTCAGACCCGCAGTTCCGCAAGTCCTTTTGCGAGATGTGTATCGCTGCTGGGGTGGACCCCTTGTCCAGCAGTCACTCAGGTTGTGAACGCTTGGACATGGATGGAATTAATGGGACTTAGTAGGAGGGTCAAGTCATGGGTTTCAGTACTAGTCGTCATGCATTCATGACGACTGGATGATTTGGGGATATCATGAAAGCTGGGAAACCTCCAAATGGATGGATTGACAACCTGAAGGGTAGTCAAACATGGCTGGGAACTCCCACCAAATGGAGGTGTTTCTATGGGGAAATTATCAAAATAGATGGGTGATTTTCCAGTGCCATGTTTGATTGCCGGAAGGTAATTGAAGGATTGTTGAAGGAATCATGTTCTAACTGGGGTGATCGCTTTCATACCTGGGCCATGACCACATTGATTGACCAGAATCAAACAATGCCCTTATGATCCCTTGTTGGTGGATGGCTACAATGATTGGGGCATCATACCAGGCTTCGCAGATGATTTTGAGCCATCATGGGGTGATAAGGAAAGGCTCGGTGCATGGCATAGATTTGTTCCTTTGGGCAAAAGGCGCTTGAAGTGCAAACAACAGAACTACCTAATCGTTCAAATGCGTGGCACCAACATGCCCATGTCCCATACATGTCCCATGCACGTCCCAAGCATGTCCCAAGCATCATGCAGAGGTTTGTCACGTATCTCAGAAGACCCAAAGTTTCCCAGGTCTGGGTAGGACCCTCTTGTGCTGGGTCCTTCTCGGACCATCTGATTTTGAATCCTTCGTGGCTGGACCCCCTCTTAATTGCTGTGGCTGCTAGCTCAAAACATCTCAAAACTCACCAACACATCCAAGAAGAAACGCAACCAAAAAGCCAGGGGATCAGCATGGAAACTCACACAGAAAGCCATGAATTACCATCTGGTTATTTAACATAGCCATGGAAAATCACCATTTTTAATAGGTAAACCCAGGTAAACCATCTATAAATAGGCAATTTTCCATGGCTATGTTAAATAACCAGAGGGTAACACCGCCACTGGACCCCCAGTGCCTGAAAAACCACTGAGGTAAAGGTCTCTGGGATGAACTCCTGGGAGTTGGTCAGTTCTACAACGACCTGTCGGTCCAGGCCGCCCTTAAAGTCGACGGTTGGGTCGTGCTTCCCAATGGGTTTCATTTAGAGGTTTCCAATCCATGTGGATACCCCTAAATCATCCATTTGAATTGGATTTTCCATCATAAACCATCCAGCTATGGGGATCCACATTTATCGAAATCCCCATTTGGAAACAGATTGAAGGATAGTGAAAGCATTTATCTATACATATCTTATAAATCCAATGCAACCATCTGACTTATCAATTGCTCGCCCTCAGCCTTAGCGGAATCTACCGGATGGCGATGGAGGGAGAGAGAGAGAGATAGAGAGAGATGAATTGAAAAAGCACCAGATTTTTGGAAAAGCGTTGGCATTTTGGCAATCGACAATCCCCAGAAAATCTCATTGAGTTCAACGTGTTTCCATTTGATTGGCCATAGTTCCCGGTTTTCGCATGTGTGTTTTACCAAAGGGTATGCCGTTTAGATTCAAGATTGTCCCAGGCAGGATTGACTATTGAATTCGATTGAATTACCTATGATTCCATCGGACAAATCCTGTGATTGACTGTTGAATTGATTACCAAAGGGTATCCTAGATGGTCATGATGTTCATGGATTTTTCATGGTTTTTTCCCCATATTTTTGCCTATGATTTTCTACTCCTGACTGTGGATCCTGAGCCCCCAGGTGCTGACCCAATGCATGCGCACGCGCGACGAGAACGGCGGTCTGCTGGATCTTCGTCAGTGCCTCCAGGGCCTGCGAAGAGCACGGCCCGGGGAGCGCCTGGCTGTGGAGGACGTGGAGCGCGCCGTGGAGTGTTTGGCACAGCATCCTGGATGAACTGGATGAATTTCTGGGTCATCATGGGATTTTACCATGATTTTACTATGATTTTACTATAGTTACTTAGTTTCTATATGTTTTTTACTATAGTTACTTAGTTGCTATAAGTTTTACCATCTCATAACCAAAAATTGTGAAGAATAATGGGATTTTATTGACATCTCTGGGTAATTTTAATCGTGGTCTCATTGTGACGTCACCCGGGGAATGATGGTTAGGAACCGGAATCATCCCCACATGCCTCATGAGAACATGTATTTTCAGGTTAGTTAATTATACCCTCTGGTTATTTAACGTAGCCATGGAAAATCACCGTTTTTAATAGGTAAACCATCTATAAATGGGCCATGTTCCATGGCTATGTTAAATAACCAGAGGGTAATTCAGCCAGATGAGTTGTGACAACATGTGACAACGTACCGCCAGATCACTTGAAAGGTAGTGACAGTGCCAACATGGTTTTGTTTATTCTGATTTCAGGCTGGTGAAATATGCCTAAAACTTGATAGAATGTACCTTGATGGGCCAGATGGGACCACCCTGTGGGAAAAAAGGCAAAACCCAGCTGGGCATGATTTTGAGGTTTTTCTTTTTGAATACTTCGTGATGCATACCATATAATTATTACATATATATATATATATGTGTGTACATTATATTACGGTACTTCAAATTGGAGCAATGCAATCTTTTAGATTATGAGCACATCCACTAAGAAATTGTACATGGCTAATGTGTCGCCCAAATCATCCAAATTGTGTAAACTGTCGCATGGTCTATACAAGATAAATTTGAGTTTTGCCACGTAACAATATGACATTTAAAATAGTGACTAGTGATATCTAGTGATCAAATCCAATAAATGATCATTGGTCATTTTGCCCAGGAAAATGCATTGATTGGTCGGGCTTCAGGTTGTGGAGTTGTGAGGGATGC